TCTGTACGTGGCATGAATTCTTGTAACTAAACGCCCCCTCCCCCATGGGTACATGGACCCTTGGAGTCCCCTGTATCGCTTCATGACGCTCACTGTCTTATGGCTAAGGCCGTATTGTTCCCGAATGGGAGAGTCGTTTCTAGGTCACTTAATGATGGTCACATTGAAAATTTCACGTTAAAAAATGTTGGGTCAAGATAACTTGAGTAATTTCAGTCTTTGCTTCGCTATCAGCACGTATGGCCAATAGCGGTCAACCTCAAGCCGTTTTCTCTTGGCTCAATTATGAGAGGCAGCGGTATGAATCAACTTTCTAGCGCCACCGAACGCTACCTTATACCTCAGTGAACTCGTTTTAGGCAACAGACCACCCGGTCTCGTTCCAAAACAAAGCGTATTACATGCTGAAAGATCTGCAAAGGAACAACGAATTCTGGAACATGACGTTATCGGCACCTAGGGTATTTGTTTCACAGATTTGCGTACATTTCTACTGCGAGTTTTGAGGATTTTAGGATTTTATGAAATGGGTCAAGACCGAAACTTCCGATAATGCGATGAAACTGCTTCTCGTCATTCAAAAGGAACGACCAGGTGTGTTTTTTTTTCAGTTAAAAAAACATCCCAAGAAATCTTTGAGGTTGCCAATTTTGCCTAGTGTAATAATTACAGCAAAATCTTTTCCATATCATGATGCTGATATTGAACCAGAATGGTGATCATATATATGTACCATCTATTTCGGAAACGAGAAGAGCGTCGAGTACAGACCACACTACAAGTGACGACGGCCGAATATAAGGTGGTTTTCTTGGCCGTCGTCATTTGTGGTGCGTGATCTGCACTCGACGCCCTTCTGGTTTCCTGAAACAGATACATCTGTGCATAACTATCCACGAAGGTAGAGATGAGCAGATAGAAAAGGCATCCCAGTTCTATCACATAGGGCTGTGGCCGGTGCCGTGATCCTCTTTCTCTACTACCCACGACTAATAATAAATGAATTATATAAAATATAAATAAATAATCTAAGTAATCTAAATATGCCAGTGAAATCCTATCTAGATAGGTGTGCCTCGTTCGCATCCACTCAGGCGGAGCACTTATTCTACCAGTCCCAAGAGACTCCTCAATGAGGCTGGGAGTGACAGAATTAGTCTAATTTTTCCCAAGCCTAAGAGAGCGAAAAAACAACAACTGAGAAGCTGAAAAATGCGTCCCGCCTTACGGGTTCTCCCACCTCTATGGCCGAGAATTGAATGGTAATAGAAATGACACTTCTGGTCGCTTCGTTGTAAACGTTTTAGAAAAACGTTTTAGAAGCTCTGCATCACAATCACCCCCCCCTTACTGAGAGAGTGCCAATAATCATAAAAAATTGATCGGAACTATGAAAAGCTAGGGCATAACCGTGTAGTGCCTCGCTAAAAATTCCTTGAAAAAATTGGTAAAGCGGCTTTAATGTGATAGAAATACGGTAGTGAGATATTGATTCATAAAAGATTGGATAATAGAAACTTACCTGGAAAGGCATCGACTCCCTATGGAACTGGTTTCAAAGGCGTTGATTACAGAATATAAAGAATAAACTGCCAATGTGAGCCTGGCCATGGGAGTTGTGCAGGCAGTCAAATTGGCGTGGAGTGTAAAGCCTACATAGGACACGGAACGGCTAGCGTCGCGACACTCATTAGTAGCCAGGGAGAGTTGATATTCAAACTTCACACGTCTAACGGGGGGAAAGAACTCGTGGGCTCCCGTCGCATGTGAGAGCACTACCACTTTTTACAACAGTTGCCTCTGAATGCACGGAGTACTGGTACCAGTACCATATGTAACGGCTTACTCCAGCCCATTTTGTGGACTTTGCTCGACAAACTTCCTTGTCAAACTCATTTTGCAGTTTTAGTTTCCAGATTTGTAATCAGCGTTTGAAGCTCTATCAACATAACTGGGCCTCCATTGGAAGTTTCATCGGGAGCTGAATGCTTTTCCTGGTTATTTCTACTCAACACAACCCGAGAGTCCAAACAAGGAGTATCCAAGAAGGTTACTTGATTTCTCCGCTGAAATCCTCTTCTGTAAGGCATATTTCAGCGCGCTCCGTAACAGAATATGACTGAGCGCGACATGCTATTCAAAGGGCGTCATTCAAAGACAGGGCATTTTGAAAATCGCTGTTAAGAGACATCCAGCGAATAAGCTAGCAGGAAAAAAAGGTGAAGCGCCAGGGAGACCGAAGGTTGCCCACGTTCTTCTTCACAATCCTTTTCCCTCCTTAAGGAAAATCCTAAAGGCAGGGGGATGCCTCACTCAGTATTATAATCCCCTAGTGACATAAGCTCCGGTATGACAACCATTTTTTCGGGTAAGCTCTCTTTGGAGCCCAGCCATAGCTCCAGATCTGTGAGTGTTTAGGCGCGCAAATGTGGCGGAGGCGACGCTGGCGGTTCTGGAAAAAGCAGATTGCTTGACGTGACGAGGAGACGTAGCTAACAGCAAGTTATAGCTGATTTGGTTGAAATGGATGGCCACACCAAAATCTGTACAATGGCGCCGGCGCCAGAAATGAATGCCATATTCGTTACGAACACCCCAAATTACCTCTGTAGACAAAATATCTATGAAAAAAAAACAAATTTTTGAGAGAATGGTTAGAATTCGAGTGAATAGTTGCAAGAAACTTTCAGCAGTTCGGCAGTCCGACGCCGAGCGGTGATATCATCGCAATTAAGAAATCGACTTGAATCCTTTGGTCGCTGATATGATTTTATGGAAAGATAATTTGATTTATTTATTCTTATTTTTTTCGTAACCGTTTAATAAAGTGAAGTTTTATTCAGATAAATTAGCAAAAAAAAACGAACTCGAATCAATAAAATAGTAATTGATAAAAAACTGGCTCTGTTTTAACCCTTGACTGCTATTTGAACTGGAAAATGAAAGAAAAGAAGAATAAACTATGCGAAAAAGTTATGCCAAGGTTGAAGAGAAGAGTCTAAAACAATGGGTTCCTAGGCCTGGGCGCTGACCCTGCATGCAGGCCTGGCCTGAGTGGGCGCGAGCTTGATGTGTTAATTATTTTAATTGGACGGCACCACTACTTACGGTCACTTACGTTGTGGGAATTTACCTAGTCACCAACTTACTGTCACTACACCTTGGCATAGTGTGAAATATTTCCTTTCATCTATATTTTCCTGAATTAGTTATTTTCATGAAATTTTTCAGAAAACAGTAAAATATGTTCATATGCATTTTGAGAGTCCATAAAATGTCAATGAGTCTCATTGGGCTAATGCCTCGGCTTTGTCGCCTTCGACTGACCAACTTGGGCCTTGAACAACCCTGGTCTCAAAAATCACCTACTTTTGTATTGAAGGCGGAGTTTAGGCTGAAAAGCTCTCCAGAAGCTAAGGTAGAGGTGGTGCCGTGAGGTGAGGGTGCAGGGATAAAGAAAAAAAACCATGCAAAACGGCCCAGTCCTTCTTTAGCTGTTGGTTTACGCATTGACACTGCTCTCATCGGTGCTGCCCTCTTCAAAACTAACGCTCTCTCTGCTAAACGGCTAGAGTCAGACGGCGAGAGGGTGGGCGTGCCCGGCGCAGCGGGTATGGCTCTGCTGGGCGCTAGAGGCATACTCTTCGCTGCGAAGCGCGCATCGTCCCGCAACCTTAGGTACGCGCTCGCCTTTCGACCAGGCGAATTTCCTCTTCTTCGAAATCCGTCCTTATCGTGAAATCCTCTTTAAGAGATGTTGGAAACAGTCACTCGAGAGTTTTGGAAACGAATTTGGACAAATGGCAAACGAATATTTGATCGTGAAGATTTTGAAGAGGTATTTTCAGAATTTAGCTATTTGATTTTTCGAATTGTAAGAAATGTTCTGCAGGTGCTGACAGCCAGTGGAATAACAAATGGATCCGAGTATATTGATCAAATTGACAGTGAATACGCCACAACTAAACTGAAAGAGAACAGCGATGCTGCTCTGG